TGTTCGATAATTTCTAGGGTTTCAAGGTATACTCGTGTACGCCTGAGCGTGCCTATTTTTAATCCAGCATCGCAAAAACATGCAATTAAAGAGCACAAGTAGAGATAAGGAGCGTGCTTTGTTTGAGTATTATGCGATTTCCTTTTAACAAGAATATATGGGTCCATCTTGATGATGAAAAGCAGAGAGGATGTTGTGGAATGATGGCATGAAAAGGCAAAAATAAACTAGAATATATTCATACCTGAATCAAAGCTCTCCTCAGAACCTTTTAAAACTTTAAAACTTTCTCAATTTAAAGAGAGAAAGCGAGTAAGCGAAACAAGGGCGGTCTTTAAGCATTAATTACAGTTAACTGATTTCCAGGCAGGAAGGAAACTTAAAGTGATCGAGCTTTTATGATCCTGCCTGAACATGCACGATATGCCTGAGTAGCACTCGTATCACACACGATATTACAGTGCACTAACAGCGAAAGCACGAACAATATACTTATTTACACAGATAATTTAAAATCCGGTCTTGGAATATATAAAGAACACATTTCTCGAGCAAGTCAGAAAAGAGTAACACTCGAAAAAGCGCTCCCAAAGAGAATATACAGATTACTATAACTGAATCAGATTCCAAAAGAAGATACGAGGTTATTACAACTTGTAATTGAATCAAAACAGAAGATCAGAATGCCTGTGACAAGCAATCAACAAGTGGATAATTCTATCGAACTAGCAGAAAGTATGCCAAGTTCGCAACTAGCCTACTACAGAGATCTTCAAACATCAACTTTGGCTTATTCCTTGCCCTACACAGAATCAACCGCCAACATTCACTATCGATTCCAACCGTTAGCCATTAACCCAGCGTTTCTTCACTTCGCTCAACGGGAAGCTTTGACTCGCGCCTTCTTGAGCTTATACGACCAACGAGCTTACTTAGACGGTTACAAAACGAGCAGCTATACCCCACCAGGCCGCGATGAAGAAAAACCAAAACAATCCTACGTTCGTTTGATCGGTGAAGCCATCCTCAACTCTCCTGAAAAAAAACTAGTCCTAAGCGAAATCTACAAAACCATCCAAACCAAATATCCTTATTTCAAAAATCGTGGAAGCGGTTGGAAGAACAGCATCAGACATAACCTAAGTCTTAACGATTGTTTCGTGAAACTGGGCCGCAGTCCAAATGGGAAAGGACACTTCTGGACGATCAGTCCACAACATTACGAAGAATTCCTCAGAGGTTCGTCTCATCAAAGAAAATTTCAAAAGAAAGCAGCACCGAAATTCTGTTACTATCCCAGCGAGGTATTCCAGTTCAATAACTATGCGATGGTCGACAGCCCTCCAACAGTCATTCAGCCCAGACTTGAAGGGATGGAGAGCTCGTCGCATTACGCTGAAAGCCCATCATCTCTCTCGCTACGTAGACCTGAGATAATTCAAGACAGCCCTTCGGTTAGTCCACCTCATTACTCTATGGTAGAGAGCCCAAAAGCCCTGGGTAGCCCTCGGGATAGTCCAGCATCAGAGTCCGAAGTCGAAGGACGAACCGAGATTCACATTCCGGGAGATCAAATCGAAGTCAAACATGAAGTCATAGTTTGCAGTGAAGATGAATCTGAAAAGTCGTTTACAAGCCGACCATTTGATGTGGAGAACTTGCTAGCTAGCCATCCAAAACGACCAGCAAGTTATTAAGATATAAAACATTCTATACTAGCATAGACTTGCTATATGGTTCGTGTTTAAGATATCTGTGTAAAGACTAAGAGATTTTATTGACATTCAAATATTTATGTAAATTTATATATAAACTTTTACATAGCATAGCGAATTATAGTGTTTATCCGAAGATTAATTAATATAACATTTATAGTTTAAAAATATATATAATTTTGTACTAATGCTTATTTAATACGCAGTCATTATCAACAAATAAAACAATTTGTTATCAAAAAATGGTGTACAATTATGTGCCAGTTATAAATTTTACATATTTTATAACAAAGTGTTTTGAGACTCGGCCAAAGATTGCGAACTTCGAACTGCTGTAACTTAAGACTGCCTGGACTGATTTTGATGAAACAAACATTAAAATATTTCATCTAGCAAGCTCTACCAAACTATGTAGGATATGAAACTTGAACATTTCATTGCGAAATGATCTAACATGCACAAAGGGGAGTTCTTGACTAAGTTTCTATGGAAACACTATGTGAATCGGCATTTTTTAAATCATGTCAATCCTTAATGAGAGCAAACGGTTAAAGACGATTTTGTTAGCCCACTCGATACAAATATTTGGCGGTTAAAGGTGACATTGAAACAAAGATTGTCTTTTAAATTGTACATTCAGATGTCACATGAATTTAGAAATGGTCTCTGTAAGAGTATATAGGAAGAAATCATAACAAGAAAGAATAGAAAGTACCGTCATTGCTCAAAAACCTGCAATTCTCCACGTCATCAATTTTTCATCTCACCATCTACAAATCTTGCCAAAAATGGACCTCAGAATTGACAACTTCATGCACAAATTAATCTATATCGAAAATTTCATGACGTTAGGACTTTCAAGGACGCGAGTTATGGCGTTTTGAAGATTTTGTTTTTACTCTACATTTGTATGGAAATTTCTGCCGCAGTGAAAAAATTCCACTTGCGCCCTGCATGTCCACAAAACATTGTGAAATTTTCGCTCTAGACTATAAATAGACCTTTCCCCTTTTGAGTGAAATTTTGATCTAGACAAGTCTGGACAAAAATTTCATCACAGCTTGAAAGAGAATCACAAAATTAGTTATATTCCGAAATTTCGTTGCGAAATGTTGTAAAATGCGGATAAATATAGCCTTGCGAAGTTTGCAATTTTTAGTCATTTTGTATTACAAACGGGAAATTGATAATCAAATGATCAAACTGATTATCAATTTCCCGTTTGTAATACAAAATGACTGAAAAACGGCAAACTTCGCAAGGCTATATTATCCGCATTTTACAACATTTCGCCGCAACGAAACTTTGGAATATTACCAATTTTGTGATGCTCTTTCAAGCTGTGATGAAATTTTTGTCCAAGGAATATCTAGACTAAGAATTGGTTAAATTCTAGATCGGAGAATTGGTTAAATTCTCGCTTCTTCTCAGATACGATTGCATAAACCGTCGTATAGCTACTTGACCTTCAAAATAAATCAAACGAATTATCCAACAAAGACAATATATCTGCGTAATTCACGTGCAAGTAAAGTTGCGTGCGTAGTGTGTCTATGACGTCATGAGAAACAATTCTCAGGGTTGCATAATCACATGGTTGTATAAAGCCTTTGTTGTTTTAAAAATAAAATGAGAAATTAAAACAAAGTTATAACTAAGACCAGTTCAAAAATTCATATTAAATGTTTGTGAAAACTCAGCTGGCAAAATGCAGTTAAGAATGAAAGGACTTCCAAGTGTCAACAATATAGAAATATGCATGATACTTGTACAACTATTTTGTACAATGTCAGAACCAAAGATATGACAAGTTTAATTTCACTTGAACAGTAAATAAATAATTGTTTATTGGACAAGATAAATATTTATTAAAGAAAGATCACACAAATAATGTCATATACACCAGTTGCCATAATTTACATAATTTAATTTTTGATTTTAATTTTTTTAATTTTACAAGTTTTGTCACAACAAGAATACATGACAAATACAATAATTATATATTTTTATAACATTACAAATGTGACAGGAAATCACAAACGCTTCAGGCCATCATTGATGGGAAATGTCAAATTGACATTTTTATTCCAAAGACTACCGATGCATAGATGCAGATGTTATGCATCAAATAGCATGAGAAGTTTTTCAAAATCAACCAATCAAGATTGGAAACCCCCAGTATGTATGCAGAACCCCCCACCAGTATGTTGTTATAGCCATCCAGTTGAAATATGGGTCATTCCAGAAAAGATCCACGCTCCTCCCATAAAGGAAATTTCTCCTGTCTGGAGGGGGAGGGGAGAAAAATTAGTTTCTGATAATAGTAAATGTATTAGAATGTCCAAAGGGGGTAGGGGGGTTTAATCTACCAATTTCCTCTGTGGGGGAGGTAAAGGCCCATTTCCACCCACTCTTCCAAAAATATCATTGTTAAAGGTTGAAAATTTTCCTATCCATCGAAAGGCCCATTTCCACTCAGGAAAATTTTCTGCAGAAAGAAAAATTTGTAAAATGGGATTGATTTTCCAAATTTTTTGTCTGTGGAAAATTTTCTTGAGTGGAAATGGGCCTTGAGGATGTTTTCTGGAATGAGCCATGAATACAAAAAGATAATACTGGCCCAAGACTAGTTTTTTTTGTGGGCACAAAGGCTAAGCCTACCTGAGTGCCAGACATGAACATGTTTGAGGCATTGTTGATTGAATATAAAGAGCAATCTTTACTAATGGGCTCAATCTGTCCATCATCGACAAATTTTATATCACTTCAGGTGGTCGAATATATTTTTCTTTTTTTTGAATAAATTTTCCACTTTTTGAAAAACATTTTTTGTTTGTAAGTATCACACACCAAGCTTACTCCTTTTTACACTTAATTAAACAATTTTAAACAAAGAAAACTTTAAAAAGTTCGCTGCTATTGAAATTTCGCACGTGTCATTTCGAAGTCGCAAATAAAACACCTTTAGATACGCGGTATTTAACTAATTTAAGCGCTTTTCTAACCAAACTATGAACTTAAAAACTCACCTAATGTCATTTCCAGTACTTTTCGTTGCCAAAATTCATCTTTAAACAACGATTTATGGTAAAAAATTAAAGAATTTTCAAGTATTTTTTTAAAAGACAAAATTTCCTTCTCGGAGTTTTAAAATTTCCACCATTATTGCGTTGAACCGCTGCCACACAGTGGGCGCTGTCTCGCACCCAGTCTCTCTCGAGTCAAAACGCCCATTTGCGGAATGCGGAAATAGCGGATGAGCGATGGGACTTGGACGAAGTTGCGGAACTTCAAATTGCGGCGTTGCCAAAAAGTAGTAATTGAATACTAGCATTTATCAATCTGGTAGCTTTATAATTGAAGTTCATAGTTTAAGCATTATCCTAACTAAATGAAATATATTATTTATTGTAGAGCTACATTAACAGAACTAAATAAACTGATCTACTATGTTATGTAAGAGTGCAATGTGCTTCAGAAACAATATCAAACTTTTTTAACATTATTCACTAGAATGCGAAATTCAAAACATTAAGGCCTGTTTACTAGAGACATCTAGTGTGATTTTCTTCTTCTGACGGATGTGAACAATTGGAAGAGTTATGAATGTTCAGATGAGGGTGACACATACTCAGGCCAAAAAAAAAATATGTGGGTTTCCGGTTTCTTCTTATAAAAACTTAGGTAGGGTAGGTCGGTTTTAACTTTTTTTTTAAACTTTTTTTAAAATTTTCCTAACAACCGGATGCCGTTTTGTTTAGTCAGTGCTTCCACATCCAAAGATAAATTTCACTAATATTGCCTCAAATTTCAATTTTCCACAAACTTTTTCCTCTAAGTGGAAACACTTACACGCATGATCCAATAAAAAAGTTAAGAGTCGGGATTTCGACGTCCAAAAGCTAGGTAGGGTCGGGAAACCCACATATTTTTTTTTTCCTCAGAACATTCGTAACTCATCTACACGTTTACAAGCATGAGAAGAAGAAAATCGCACTAGAAATCACAGCAAAAGTGTAAACAAGCTTAAAATATCCTACATTTAGAATTAAAATTATACAGTATCCTCTGGATATCAGGATACTAAAAAATCTAGAAGCCTGTTATAATCACATTTATCAACCACAAAAGTACATAATTTTTCAGATCACAAAACTTTGAATCTTTTTGGCCTGGCCTATCTACTCTGTATTTTAACTAATTATAGTTGTCAAATTTGTCATACATATGTTTCTCAGGAGCTTGGTTATGTGCCAAGTACAGAAAACCTATACTTGATAATGCACTAATGAGGAAGATCAGATCAAACCATCGGTGGTAGAAATTGAACTGCAAGTCTCCCAAAACCTGCGTTATAATCAAGCGATACTTTTCTGGCATGTTCATACGCATTAGCAACACCGACGATACAAAATACATCCCCATGATCTCCGCAAGTGTCAGTACGATTATATTTGAAGACTTTGCACTGGCCATCGAGTTGAAGAATTTTGTCATAGTTATTAGTAGTCCACGTATTGATGTTACAATCAGGATACCAATTAACAGAAACGAGAATTGTTGTGACCAAAACATAACGTCCATTTGCAAGCCGATATACTTCACCGTTATTTGGAGTCCACGAGTGACAGGGTCAACCTTGCCGACACGGTCAAATATAATGTTCACGGTTGATATGAATATTTTCCATACACAATAACCAGAAAAAATATGGCCAACAAAGTCAAAGTACCTGCCTTGTATGGTCTTGGAGAAATGCATCCTTGCCCGGGTGTTTTGTAAGTCTACAGCTTCAAGGAAAAGTTGACGGCTCAGTTCCTCCAGTGTTTCCACTTCTATTTGAAGGTTTCCAGTATTTTCACTACCACCACCTGTGACACTGCTGAACACTCCCCAGATTGCTAGATGAATGAAATCATATTAACCCTATGAGTGGTAGCACTCTCCTCTTGAAAGTGCAATTGTCCGGCATTAGACAGGGGGGGAGAGAGTAATAAAGTAGGGTGCATGTAAGACTGCCCAAGAGTTGCAGTGGGGTGCACTATTGAGCTTGCTTACCTGACATTTTTGAGTCTTTTGCAGCAAACCTCTGACTTTGTCGTTTGGCAAAGGCAATTCTTTTCTTCTTGCTAACAATAATATCCATAGTTTGCGTCAACTTTCTCTCGATAGCTTGGATGTCTGCGTCGGTCACATGTCGCATAAAATACGCCATATAAGTATATGGGCAATTAACTGCACCAAACCCAGACAGGATGGCCATAAGTGTTACCCCGATGACGCCGACTCTACTAATACCCTGTTCGATAGATAGGATGCCATGTTTTGGATTGAGTATCGGAAATGGGTTCCCTAACTTCCAAAATATGTACAAGAAACAAAGCCATATGAGAGTTGATAGCCATATCACAGTTTTCCGATGATGAGCAAAGCGTAAGGTCTTCACAATGAAAAATGATATATAGAAGGGCAGAAGAAAAATTAAGGTAAAAAGCATTGAATATAGTCCAAGTTTCCAATGGATGAACCTAGATCTTGGTTCTAAGATGCCCAAAATTTCGAATATAATCAGTTCGAACATCGTACAGGATAAACTGAACGTGATAGCAAACACAAATTGGACTACAAGGTTCCTCACTTCATAGTCTTTGAAGAGCCAGCGCATGAAAAATAACCATCCAAAACCAAAGAAAAAGGCTTGAGAGATAAGTATGATAGAGAAGTCTGTGAATAAGGACATTTCGTGTTGTTATCTTGCATAAAAAAGTAGAAATTTTAGTTCAAATAGAGCCATATTTTAGTGAAGTCATGTATATAAAAGTTCTCCAATCTCCACGTACTTGGCCGCGCAGTTTTCCCATATGAGAAAACTGGGTAATAGTGTTGTGTTTCCGCTCTTAAAATACACACTTCATTCAACACTTCATTATTCTTCTTTTATGCGGAATTCTCGGTGCTTCCATCGTTTCCTTGCCATCTTTTGCACAAAGTCATACGTTAGGCCTC